GTACATGAGACAGATAATATGTGACAAAATCAGGTTCCTCTGGCTCCTCCTAGTGCTCCTAATGGTATTTGCAAGAATACGCCAGGCCTGAACGAAAATAACCAATCAGAACGGAGAAAGATAGTTGATTTTTGCGTCTCATTCCCAGGGCGTCAAATAAAGACGCTTTGAGACCCTGGGAACGAGCACTAGGAGGAGCCAGAAGAACCTGAACAGATAATGTGTCTCATGTACTTTTTAATACCATATATATACCAAGTGCAGAAGAGTGAAGAAAGTCCGGACATGATTTGAGAGTGCAGACAGATTTGAAGGTACACAACAGCTTTTAAGAGCAAAACCCTCATGTGGTTCATGCTCAGTCCGAAATTGACTGATCGACTTGAGATTTCGACCACCTCACCATACATTTCAGTTTACATGTGGCTGTCAAAGTCTTATCTATGTCCCAGTTATGAAGGACAAATCTATTCACACGACCCTATAGGTCAAACCTTACATCACAGTCATGATTCTGCCCTTTCCTCGTTTACAAAATTTTAGGTGAAAGTAGCATTACACCATGCTCGGTTTCCTTTTTGCCATTCTCTCACGTTTCTAATGTCACAGGTTTCCACAGTCATGTAACACAGGCCAGCTAAATATATCAGGGCTGTTTATTGGAGTTGTTTATTGGAGTACAAAAGTACTGAAAATGTTTGGAGGTGATGCAGCCACCCACATTTTGTATTCACTGATATTTTCTTAAAAGAATCAATATCAAATGTGTAGCTTGTGAGTATTGAAGTATCAGTCCCAATGGACTGATCTGCCCATCCTTGATAATGAATTTTATTTCTGTCTTTAAAAAAAAATACATGCATTTTTCTGTATGAGTCGTTGGAGACTAGTGTAACTGTATCTCAATCTGTGAAATGTATAAATATATGCAGTTACAGCTTTGTCTACACGATAGACTTTTTTTCCACATCTACAAATCTGCTTACGCACACACACACATGCATTGAGATACATTTAAACAAATCTCCACTCACATTTGTAAATAGTTTTGCTACAATAATGGCTCCATATTTCTGGTGTGATTTGTGAATTCTAACAAAATGTTTTTTTTTTTTGGAACAATTGAGTCTGTGACATGTAGAAAGAAAGAAAAACATCCATAAGGAGAAACATCCTGTGGCATTACTTAAATTAAACCATCATTTTTACTTGCACTTCTCTTTACAACACTGCAATAACTGCAGTCATACTAAAATTACCTCTATTCTGCTAGAATTAATAGTGATCTCTGCCTCCCGTCACATCCTCTGTGCCTCCAGAAAAGAAATCAGTAACAGTGAGCGGTAATGAACGAGTGAAAATAGACCCATTAAACGTGATAATTAGCTGTGTAATGAAGTCATCACATAAAGAAACTGCAATGCATCTGCTGTTCAACATGATGTATTGTGTTTGTCGGGGCAGCTATGTATGTGTCTCTGAGCAGGATTTAATGGAGTTTTCAGAACAGCGAAAGCACAGGCATGTAACCCTGCAGCAGAACACACAACTTCTGTCCTTTTTAACATGAATGAAGCTAGAAATATAGGTGTTGGTATGCAGGTAAATTATTTTTATCTGAGCATGGTTGGGAGCACTGGAGGAGGAGCTGGCTTTACCAATCTAGCCTGGCTCCAGACCTCTGAGTCCTGTCCTACCCACATTTCTGATTCTGAGCAATTCAAAAAGGTCTTTTGTTGTGCTGATTGATTTTCAAATATTTTTAGTTGGGATTAAGATCATCATTAAGACCACCTTTCCAGAAGTACAAACCTAGTGCCAGTTCATGGCTGATGTGAGTGCTGGCTCAGAGTTGGTTCAACTTGAGAACCTTCTAACTGGTTTGCTTTTCCACTAGAGAGCCACCATAGACCCACGTCACTGTATGTCAGTTTTACAATTAGGTCATTTCTCACGTTCCGATTATTTGTTAATTGGATTGTATATGATTTATGAGTGCATTTATTATAGAAATTCACCATTACAATATTTGTTTGTGTTTGGAACATAACTGGGTTCTGAACGGGTTAATGGCAAAGACAAACCCTGCATGTCCCAATTGTGGATTGTTACTATGTTTTGAGTATGTAGTGCATAAACACTGGACAACATAACTAAGTGAAATATGGTTACCAATGCCACCATGCTCTTGCAGTTGACACTGTGTGACCCTTCAGACACTTAAATTAAAGTAAGTGATTTTTCAGCTATCAGCTATGTTGACAGCAGCAGGTTAAGAACTGAACTGTGACAGTGATTAATCAACAGGAAACTAAAAATACACTAACCTGGCTTTGTGCTCAGAGCTTCTACAGAGTGTCCACATAAAAAGACTCCTGAATTAAGAGTGTGTTTAACTACTAAGATTCTTTTTGTCACAGAATGTGAGCATTGAAAAGTCCAGTAAAAATCCAACATACAAGCCTTGTCTCACTAAGGTCCCAAGCTGCCTTGTGGGGCTCAACTGGAGATACTATCTAAATGTGTCCATTTTTAGGTTTCTATGTACACAATCACATGACCAAACTTTGCTGAGGTGATCATATTCTGACTGTGGAATTCAAGTGTGAGAATCCATTTGGTCAACACAACAGATCACTGCTGCCCTCTGCTGGCAAAGGGCTACAAATGACCCAGCATCCTCTTTAAAAACATTAAATTTGGACTTTTACCTCTGAAACAGTTGTTTTTGTTGCAGTGTACACTAACGTCTTACAATTTTAATTCAGGTCAAACAGGCTTCATTGGCACAGGAAACAGATGTTTACATTGCCAAACCCAATGTGAAAAACCCATGTAAATAAAACTGTACATAAACAGAAGAAGGGTGGTTTTGCTATTACAAACATACAGTTTGGTAAAAAAATAAATAAAAAAACTATAAAAATAAATTATGTACAATGTGTGTCTTGTGGTGGCCCCTGCTGCTATTGGTTCAGCAGTGTTCTTACTGGTTCAACCCACTGTTGTACAGACTCATCAGTGTTTCCAGCCTTTAAAATCCAGGTAATGTCAGACACTTTTTTTCCCCCACAGACACCCATTTTTGGGTTAGACCTCTCTCATGACAATGGAAAATCTTAAATTTGCACACTAGTCACACACTTATGCACATCTCTACATACGTGCACATTTCAAGTTGTTTTGCTATTTTTTCATGCACTTTTTGACTAACAGTTTATTTATAGGTACCACTTTACAGAACAAGCCTTGGCCAGTTTACAATCAGGTACAGAGGTCCAGTCTTATAGAGAAGCTTTTCTGCTTCACTTCACAGTCACTCCTCAGTTCTGATTGTTTTACAGACCTGGAACAACTTTCACCTTATTACAGTATAATGTAAATGAGATATGATAGAGTGTATGAAAGCAGTGGAAATAGTAATCCTTGTTTGCATCTGTTATTCTTCCTTGGTCTTTATTTTCTAGCATTTCCTGTTGAAAGTTGTATTTTTTTTAAAACTTTGTTTGTAAATGTGTGGCAAGCATATAAATATGTGCATACAATATATAACAACATATATAGATGTAGAATCTAAAGTAAAATCTAAAATAAGGGTGTGTACAAATATGTACAATATACTGCACACAGAAAATAAGACACAAAATATGTATACTACAATATATAACATTAGTGTAATGAATAAACAATAATAATGAGAACTGGATTACTAAATAAATGTGCTTATGAAAAACAGAACAGTATACAATATGATTACAGTATCAATGGCACAGTAAACCAGACAATTATTTAATTGAAAATGTAATTATTGAATTGTTTAATTTAAAGCAGAATCAGTACTGTCAGCAGTGAACACTATAGAAGCCAATTTCCGCCAATGTGATGAAACATGTGAGAGTCATGATGAGAAACTATGAGTTAGCATCTTAAAATAATGAGAAACAGAATATTTTGACTTAGTATCTGAAAATAATGACTTTGTTATACTAAGTCATTATTTTGAGATGCTGTCAAAATAATGGACATTGTTTTGAGATGCTAAGTCAATATTTTGAGAAGGTTTCTAATTATAATTACTTATAGAATCTTTTTTTCGCCTTTATGGCAGACATGGGCTTCCATAAAAAAACATTACTGTAGCTGTGCCAGTGAAAGCGCGAGCTGCTGGTAGTAACTCCATTGTAGAAGTGACTTACAGTACTCACAATGGTTCAGTAACAGCTAGCGTAATGTGAGAACAGTATCAGCAACGTCCGTTAGCAATAGGGCTATTAATACAAGCAGCAGTTGATATTACGCTCATAGAGACAGTTATAATGGCTATAGTAGGAGAAGTAGACTGTGACCTGAATGCTCATATCTATTAGTATAATTACAGTGCAACAGTAGTCGGACACAATGTACAAAATCTATTCGCTCCTTTTTAAAATGTAGCTAATGTACCCCGACCGTAATTATCTATATCCGTTCCTGTGCGCATGCGCGTCCGGCGGTTCGCGGTTGCGCCAACTGGTAGAGGATGTTGCTAGCAGCCAGTGTAGATGCACAGCCTTTTTCACAACAATAACATCAACCAAATTTGCATCTACATATACCCGATTTGAGGATTATACATTCCGAACGCAAACGGAAACGTGCATTGGACCGCGACACGCCGAATTTCCTTCAGTATTTTTTAGCTCCATCTTCTGTTGACAATGGGAGCGGAGGGGTTTGCAGATTTACAGGGCTCCTTTTTGCAGGAGCAGAAACAAGAATCATGGCTGGCCAGCTAGGCCGCAGATGGATTTTGTAACTAGCAGCAGCAGCCTATCGGTATAAAATAGTGCGTGTATTCTTGGTGCCAGCTTATAAGAAGCGGTGCTAAGGCGTCAGTGTTGCAACTACACGATTATCGTTGACTTGTTGTCTTTTTCGGGCCCAAAACACAAGCTAGTAAGTCCGCTAGCTCCACAACCTTGACTGGTTGACGTCTTAGCTTCTTTAGCCAGCTAACGATAGCTAGCATCGCTTGGCCAGCCATCCGCTGGTCAAAAACGTTCGGAACGAGAGATTCACTGCGGGATTTGCTCTCATATTTGTGTGCCTGGTGGGCATTCGTACCCCAGATTCCTTTTTGCAACGAGCTGCTCCTGGATGAATGTGGGACAAAATGGAGACCCCGACGATTGTGTACGATTTGGATACCTCAGGGGGCTTAATGGAGGTGAGGTTGCTTTGCTCGAAGGCCTTAATTTAGTGAAATATCCCTTATTGCTTATGCCTAAATGTGTTTTCCATTATATTAATTGCCGTTATCGCCAGCCCACCATAGCCTGCTGTCAAGCATTTCTCCGCTAGCTAACTTTAATAGCTCAGGTTGATAATGGAGGCCACAAGTTACCGCTCTTCACAAGCTTAGCATGGAATGGCACAGCGGGTTCAAAGCTGCTTATTTGCCAACTCTGTAGACAAGCAATCAGACAGTGGTCTCATACTAAACAACCGAACAACTTTTACAGCAAATCCAAACACTGCTGGCGCCCCCGAAGTCCGAGGAGGTGGAGAAGAGGAGTCGGAAGTTGGTGAGAGACGTCCGGAGGAGCGGCAGGGCCACCAACCACGACACCTGCGATAGCTGCCGGGAGGGGGGAGACTTGCTTTGCTGTGACCACTGTCCTGCAGCCTTCCACCTCCAGTGCTGGTAAGTTACAGTTATTTAAACAAAGGAGGCAGAGCTCACAGGGGCAAGTTATGCACGCATGAGTGCATGCTAAACAGACCAGGGGCTGCAACTCTCCGTTAGTTGCATGTACAAGTTCGATGCCGAATGCTAACTACTGCGAGGGTTTGTTCCCCTGATGAAGTTTTGTTGTGCTTGGTTTTGCATTGACACTTCACACTGTATTCTCCCATACAACTGAGCCGAGGAGGGCGAGAGTGAGTTTTGTGTGTAAAGTTCACATGCCGAATTCATCAGAACACCTTAATACATTTAAAAAGTACATTGTAGTCATTTCCAGCGTATTTTTTTGTCATACCTACGCGATGGTGAACATTAAACTTTGGTTTATTGAATAGGCTTTTGTGGGCAGAGACGGCAACTGCTAATTCCATCTGTCGGTGTCGAGTAACTTGAAGTAACGTTAGCTAACCGTTATGTTTCCTTACTGCTGGGGAAGAATGTGTGCTATGAGATGGTGAGTGGTGGTGTCTCGTTATGGTGGTAGATGCAGGGTTTACGCAGGACATAATTTCATTAGTTATTGTCAATGAAAATGCACCATAATAAGACATATAAGTGCTAAAAGAGACGTGTAAATGTAGCCTTGTGTGTGAAAGCGGCTAGCTTGCAGTCGGTCCTCCCCTCCTGTCGCGGCCGCAGCCAGCGGAGCTGCTGCTGCTAAAAATGGAGTCGAGGCTGCCTGTGTTTACAATATGGCGACCTCACTGCTCTTCTTTTCTATGCCACCGCCATCTTACCAACCTTTAAAATTCAGCTTTGAGGGGAAAAAAAGGGGTCCACTAATAACACAACGTAATGTTTTTGTCATTTGCTGAGATGGAGTAGCGGCTGGGCAGTGTTTTTGTTGTGGACATGTTACAAAAGGTCGTCCCATTGTAGCGTTTATCCGGCGCCGCTGTGCGGGGCTCACCGTTAAACATCTGCTCCATGATTATTTTAACTTTGGTTGCTTTCAGACTGTCACAGAAACGTTTTGTCCATATATGGTCAGGTCTGTGAATGGCTTCATCCTCTTATCTTATAAGACTGTACATTAGGAAGAGAACTGCTGCATCAGTGTGTATTATGTTAAAGGTGGTATCACACAGGGCAACTTTTGATTCGTCTTTGCTTGTGAATGGAAGATTGTAGGCTGTATATCAGTCCTGGCAGTCCAGGCTTCAGTGTCCTACCTGTTCCATCCATCATGACATCGCCCTCCTTGGCTCACAGTTACTCTGTCATCCACTTGACACATTGGCACTTTTACCATGACAGCATTTTTGAATTCTGTCAGTCTGAGCATGTTTTGCTTTGAATTATGCTGCAATTTGCTATGGTCATTTAACTGGAAAATACACAGTTTTGGTTATGTGTGGGTAATCTTTTAATCTTTTCACATGGATGTTAAATCGTGTCCCAGCTGTTGCAATAAAAATGGAAACATATTGGTCAATGAGATTACTGTGCACATCATTGTCAGGCATTTTTTCTGGAATGTAATGGAACTATCAGTCCACTAGATGGAGACAGAGGAGGGGGGTTGAGTTTACTAGCTGAGTGGTAACTGGTTTGTTAATGCTTGTAGTCTTTGAAACAATAGGGTTTCATTGTTATTTTGAAGCAACATTGTAATGTTACTTGTTGGGGAATAGAAAAAAAAAATATGTGTGTGTATGTATGTATATGTATATGTGTATATATATATACATATATGATGTTAAATGATACTGTGTATTCATTTGCCTGCATTAATGATCGACCTGGTCACTGATGATTGTCTTTTATCTTCTTCCTACAGCAACCCACCTCTTAGTGAAGAAATGCTTCCCCCAGGGGAATGGATGTGTCATCGCTGCAACGTTCGAAAAAAGGTGGGCGGCAAGTCTTTTCTGTTATAACAATATAAGTTATCCTGTTATAACATGACCTAAAACAGAAGAAAAGTTTCTTGTTCTACTGTGATAAGTTTGTAACAATATGAAAATATCTTGTTATAACATGAAAAACATCATGTTATAACAAACTTTTCACGCTGTAAGATATTGATCTGTTTGTCTTGTTGGTGTAGCAGCTGCTGTGGATCCACATCCAGTCCTCCACTGGTGTTATATAATCCCGCTGTTGAACTGTGGAGAGAAGTATTTGTGTGCTATATGGATTGATAAATCTGTCTTTTGGTCTTTGTTTGCTCCATCAGAAGCGAGAGCAGAAGTCAGAACAGACCAACGGCCTACCGGAGAGGTCTACCTCTAAGCGCTCTGGGTCCCCGGCGGTTGAGCTGGAGCTTAATGCCGGCCCACTGCGGCTCGACGGTCTGCCTCCAGGAGCCGGAGCGGCGGGGCCAGGTCTACGAGTGGCCCAGGTGCGCCTCCTGGACCGCAGGACCAGCAGCAGGCCAAGCAGCCGGCCCGGGACGCCCACCTCCAACACTTCTTCCACCCCAACCCCCTCGGAGGAGCAGAATGATGGCGAGGAGGAGGCAGCGGAGCCTGAGGATGAAGTTCAGGGTGCAGAGCTCGAGGGTGCTATGCTATCAGCTCCGACGCCACGCCTCCTCAAGAGGCCCTTTCAGCTGCTAATAGCAGCGGCCATGGAGAGGAACCCGACGCAGTTCCAGCTGCCCAGCGAGCTCACCTGTACCACTGCACTGCCAGGTCAGCCATAAACTCTCAATGTTAAATGATACTGATTGAATGATTTATTTTAACTAGGATTCAAAAAAGAGCCAATAAGCATGGGGAACATGGCTCTCCACAGGTAGCCACACAGTCCATGTTGTTTTTAGGTGTATCTCTATATACACCTATATACATACATAATATATATGATATGTAAACCATAACAAATATCATTTTTATCAATGGGGGGGTTTATTGAAAAATGTAAATGTGAGTAAATAATTCAGAGTTTTGTTCTTGGCCGGGTGAACAGGTGAAACTTGGTTGTCAAAAGTCTGTGGGCTGGTAACCTATTTTTAGGTCCAAAAGCCAGTTAGAAAACTGCCAAGAATTCCTGTGAATCTCAGTTTGGCATACTTTGTTGTTATTGTTGTATTTTCAAAGCTCCAAAAAGGCTTTATAGAAATGGTGATTAATTGTTACCCCTTGTTGGATCCCGAGCTCAACACCCCTGCTTGGTGAGAGTCAAGCCATTTCTGATATCACAGAAACCAAACTAGAAGTAGATGAGGCAAATTGTGGAAAGTTCTTTATAAAATATACTGCGCCTTGGTTACACATGTGTCCTGTAATGAATTGAGCATTTCAGATTTTTGACTTTTGACAGCGTAAGGATATCTGTTTTGGATTGTTTCTCAACTGTTCCCAACCCGTTTGGCTTCCTAGGCAGCAGTAAACGGAGGAGAAAAGAGGAGCTACTAGGAAAACCATTCAGGAGGCCTCAGCATGAACTAGATTCCAATGGTCTGGTCCCTCTGCCAGTCAAAGTCTGCTTTTCATGCAACAGGTTAGAACTACCAGATTACTGTACATACAAAGACACACAGCTGAAGTGTTTCATATCATTTACTGGTTTCTTTTGTATTTACTCTCACAGGAGTTGCAGGTTGGCTCCACTGATCCAGTGCGACTATTGTCCCCTGCTGTTCCACATGGACTGTCTGGACCCTCCACTCACAGCGTTACCGGCTGGAAAATGGATGTGTCCAAACCATGTTGAGCACTTAGTGGTAAGAGGCAGGGTCTTGGCTCAGACCTAAACACATTGATTTGTTTCAGTTGGTCTCGGCCAACCCGGTGCCACACAATGATTCTTTTTCCATTTCCAGCTGAATCAGAGGAGCCTGAGCCTGTCCAACCGCTGTCAGCTCTTTGACCAGTTCCAGGACAGGATGTCCCAGCACGCCGTAAAGTTGGACTTCCTGCGAAGAGTCCATCGGCAGAACGCACCCAACCGGCGCACCACCCACCAGCACAACAAGACGACCATCAAGGTAGACTGGCAGCCTTAGTGTGAGGGTGTAGACCGCCTACTGGTTGCGTATTGTATTCTGTCTTTAGTGCTTCTCCAGGGGGTGGGGTTAATCTCAATACAACGGCCAAACAGTGGTGGGAAAAATGGATTCCTGCAATAACTGAGATTCTCAGGCTTTCTACTAGGGCTGCACAATTAATTGCAATATGGCAGTGTGTTCCATGGTGATTGGAGCAGGCAGCCAGCACAGCCACAGTGTTTACCGCATATGTCATGGAAAGCAAGGCGAGAAGTTTGGTGTGCAACTGGACGTACACTCCTACACAGTGCTGAACAGCTCCGCCCCAAGTGTCAGAAAACTCTACCAAATCTAGACATCCACAGCCAGATTATTTTGAAAGAAAATATCTGAATTGCATAAACATAGGATCACATAGAATCAGATATTCACTAACAAAGACCACAGCATCGAATGTATGAAATAAGAAAAGAAACGAATGTGAACAGATGTGGTATACTGAGGGATGAGGGTAGGGGTCGAGGGTTGAGGGATGAAGGGATGATGAGAAGAAGGGATAAGAGTTTGGGGATGATGGGATGAAGGTTTGTTGGCGGATGGATGAATGGATGGAGGGGTTTGGCGCGATGTAAGAGGGAACCGAGTGGGTTGGGAGACTGAGTGGGGGAGCTGTCTCTTCGATCTATTGTAGGAGTCCCAGTGGTCCTGTATTTATAATTTGGATAAGAGGGAGAGAAAAAGAAAGGGTTTGGGTGGGAGGAATGTGGAAAATGAGTCAAGGAGGGAGTGAACGGATAAGGTGTGCTTAAGTATATTTTGAGCGGAAATGAGATGAGTGCAGGGTGTGGTCTTTTCTGAACATTCATGAGTTCTATAGATGTAGTTATCAGAGAAGTTTACTTTATGACTGTTCATCATCATCTCCATGGTCACAGTCAATAAAGGCTGCACAGACACTGAAATAGCACATAGTCAGAATTTAACATACATGTTGGATTTTAAAATCATTTATTTCCACAATAAACATCTAGCTATTTGTACTCAGGTGTCAGATACGGTCTAAAAATCTTGAGCATGGAAATGTCTTGAATTTTTAAAGAGCAAATGTGTAGGAACCTTGATAGATTCTTATGCACTGATCATGTTTTGGTTTCCTGTGGCTAAATGCTCAGTGCTGACAGAACAGAAAAGATGGAAGTGTTAAATGTATCACAGCATCAGAAATGAAATGTGATGGGATTTTAATCGACCTGGACAGGACACCCAAACGCAATCATTATGTGATATACCCTGCTCAAGTGGTTCAACTTCTTTCCAACAATGACTGTTTGGACTCAGGTCCCAGATGCCATCAAGTCCCAGTACCAGAATCCTCCCTCCATGCTGCTTCCTGCAGGGGTGCGCCAGTTGGAGCTGGTTTGCAGCGGCGTTCCCGACCATCAGCCCGCAAAGCACCTCACCACAGACGCCGAGCAGCAGGAGGTAAGCAGAGGGAAAGCCACATATTTTGGGGGGCTTTTTTGTGTTTATTCGATAGAACAGCTCAAGAGTGACAGGAAAGGGGGAGATAGAAAGGGATGACACAGTAAAGGGCCACAGGTCGGACCCATCCCCATGGCCGCTGCAGCAGGGACTCAGTCTTGGTACATGGGGTGCCAGCTCTACCAGGTGAGCTATCAGGGCGCCCCAGAAAACCCGTCCTAAAGCTTTTACAGCAACATGACAGTTGCAGACCAGAGCTGCCCAAAGTGGAACCTGTGGGCCACAGTTGTCCTGCCATAAGGTTCAGTTTGGCTTGCCACATATTTCTAGAAAAAAAATAAAATAATAGTAATAATATAAATATCCGTTTATCCTGTTTTATTTATTATAAAAAGTGTTTTTTTATATATATATATATATATATATATATATATATAGGATCCATACTTGTTAATTATTTTTCATAATCTGAGCACAGCATGCAGAGTGACACATTGCACAGGAAGTCGGTCAATTAAGGGAACTTGGGATCCTAGTACCATTTTGCATCTTAACAATGCTTGAAGTGCACTGGCCGATAGCACACGCTTTCTGTATGAAGATGCAAAATGGTACTAGGATCCCAAGTTCCCTTAATTGACCGACTTCCTATGCCCAGCATTAAGTTTGTTTTGGTCCTGCAAGAGAAGGTCATATAAGTAAATGTAATTATTAACAGTGTGATATTAACAGCAGTGCAGCTCGAAGGTATGTTGAACGATTGCTGGGGTTTGCCTTGATTATGGATGCCTGTGGTTTGAGAAAGTAGGGACATAAAAAGTTTTAAATTTTTTCAAAGTTTGAAGAACACTTGGACACTAATGTGTTTATCAGAAAAACTATTGAGGGTTCGGTCTTTTATAAAGCCAAGCTAATCTCACTGTTCAACATACAGGACCTTCAAACAGCGAACAGAGGTATAAAGACATACATGACTCTGGGGAGGGAGCACAAATGGTCCCCAAAAATCATACTAGCTTTAAAGTTTTCCAAAATGTATTTAATCATGATATTGATTTCTTTATGAATGTCTCTGTCAGATAGAACAGGATTCATTAGAGATAGTGGTTTGATGCTTGCTTGCTTGTAAAACATGCCTCTGCTGTGTTGAACAGTGGCTTCAGGACGTCATCGCCCTCCAGTGCAGCATCATGCGACACCTGTCCATCAAGCAGAAGGCTTCATCCACAGCGCCCCCTGTGTCATCAGTAACGTCGCCAGCACAGTGGGTTTCTGAGCAGAAAGCAAGTACTAAATCATGTGTAACTCCAGAGGACGTGAAAACTCAGGCCTCTTTAGGAAGGACTTCTTCCCCTGACCCCTGCTCTAAACCCTGCAGTACACCTGGTGACCCCAAGGGGGCCTCTTTTTCAAAGGAAACCCCAGCAGAGCTGGGTGTTTGCAAATGCAGCACGACACCGTGTCAGAACTGTAGGAAACCCAACGGACCTCTGGCAGAGGAGTGTCAGCCCCCCAAAGCCAACGGACCCGTAGACTGTAACAGTGCCTCAGACCCCTGCAGGCAGGCTGTGCTGCAGCACAGGCTAAAACACAGCACGGCCCCAGACTCGGCTCCCGCACCTGGGCTGGTAAACCACATAGGAGCAGAAACGGTTAAAAAGGAGCCAGAGAGCACCGCAGAGGCCTGCGCTCAGAAAAACTGCCCCGCTGCCCCGACGATATGGCCCCACGGCGGCCAGCAGAACCACAGGAGCCAGACGGAGCTCCAGGAGGAGCGCATGAGCAGCGACGAAAAACCCTCAATCACCAGCCGCGCCCCCTCAGACACAGCACCTAAAGGCAACCAGGAACATGGCTCGTCATCACCGCCTCCAGGTACACATTACTGAGCCAGCAAACTGCTCACTGCTTCCAGGTTCATTAGAGCGTCTCTAGGGATGGCAACAATATCATCACAGCAGAACTTATTTAGGCTCATTTATATGTATTGGACTTTTTCCAATATTTTTTTACAAATGTTACAGGGTGTTATAAGAAGTCTAAAATCTAATAATTGGAATTTTAGGCCTTAAAAAAAATAAAAACGATTTCAATATGTTGACATGTATATTCTTATAAATTATGTTTTATAATAATATACATAGTAGTAGGGTAAGAATTCAATGTTATATAGGTTTTTTTTTAAGGGCATTTTTCTTCTTTGCCTCAATTTTTGTGAGGCACCCCCTGGTGGCCACCACTGGTCTAATCAATTACTGTTCTCATCTCAGGATGTTTGTGGTTGTAGCAATACTTGAGTCATTGTCATTCACATTCGATGCAGTCATTGTATGTAAGCTTTAGGCTTTTATAGATGAGCTAAAAGAACACCAGGAGGGGGAGGTCATTGCATTCAGAAAGTGTCACAGCGAAACAACAGTGTGATCTAACAAACAAGAACACATTTACATTTCTAAATATGTCATTTAAAATAGATTACTATACAAAAAGGAATGAATAGTGTTCCCATTCAGTCAAATGTCCATAAAGAATCTTCCAGATCAGCCTCAGTTGTGTGACCAAATGTTGCCCCTGCAGGTTTCCCTTCAGCAGACATAAAGGCTGGTCCTGGACTCATGGACTCACTGCTGCCTAGCGCTCTCTCCTCCATCGCTAACCTGTCCAGCTGCATGAAAGATGGAAAGGATGAGGATGGAGGTAGGTGTGCTCACTCAGAGAGAGAGATGTGACAATACTGAACCATTGCTATTGTAGAAATATTGTCTGTGATGAAGCTAAGCCTAGTGGTGGTGTGTGTGTGGTGTGTGTGTGTGTGTGTGTGTGTGTGTGTGTGTGTGTGTGGTGTGTGTGTGTGTGTGTGTGTGTGTGTGGTGTGGTGTGTGTGTGGTGTGTGTGTGTGTGTGTGTGTGTGGTGTGTGTGTGTGTGTGTGTAGGGATTGAACTGGACAAACTAGATGCAGACATGATCAAGCTCCTCGCCTGGCAAAGGATCCAGCAGCTATTCCCCCCCAAAGCGCCCAGCACTCCGCCTCCCCTAGCTACCAGTGCTGCCCCTAAAACCCCTTCGCCCCGCCCCGACAGTAAGACATTAATTTAGTGTCATTAACTTCAATCCCCATTTCTTGTTGATTGGAGTGTGTGTGGGTTTTATGACTGTTTAAAATGAATTAGTATGAATTTGAACCTGATGCTCTTCCCACCAGGTCAGAAGAAGGTACAGGCCCGGGCCGTCTTCTACCCTCTGACAGGAAAAGGAGGAGCTGTTAGCATGTGCTATAGGACGTTATACATAGGATCTGGTAAGACATGCAAAAAATTCACCCAATGGCTATTTGTTGTAGTCAAAACGTCACCCTAGAGGTCCCGCCCTTACTTGGTTCTCTGTGGCTCCAAAGCCAGTTGAGTAAGCCGTGGGTTAAGCCTCGTCTCCTTTACTGTACTTAGATATGCTATATGCTAGGCTAGTCTGTGTTGAAGACAACCACATTTTGAAGATGGTTAAAAGCAACATACCTAGTCACATCTTAAGTTAGCTTAGCTAGCTAATATGGACACAGTGTGGGCCAACTAGGTAGATAATCTACATCTGTTGTTTGCTAGCTGGTTATATCCAAGCTAACTACCTAGCTAATTTACTTTAATTTTTGTCAGTCATTAGTTTTTTAGCTAATCTTTTATCTTTTGATGAGCCTTTGATTTAAAATCATAATTTTGCTAAATTTAAGCATACATTTAGAATTTAGTTTACTTATGTTCACACCAGAGTTTCCCAATCTTGTTAGCTTGTGACTTGTGGCACATTTTATTTTATGTCAGTGAGTTGAGGTCTGACATGTGTGGAGGTGTAGCACTGCATAAAGAGCCCTACATTTGTCTTAGATCATTTACAACTCACTATTTCTTTGTATTTCATGTGCTATGTAAAGGTGCTGACATGGACGTGTGCCTTACAAACTATGGTCATTGCAACTACATATCGGGGAAACACGCCTGTATTTTCTATGATGAGGTACGGGCTTTTAAACTGCTGTATTGCTAAAATGTACAAGGATATGTTTTTATTTACCACGATTCTGCAAGTACTGTTGTTGATGGACACAGTGTAAATGGTTTAGTGTGTGTCCTCTGCAGAACACCAAGCATTATGAGCTGCTCAACTACAGCGAGCACGGCACCACAGTGGACAACGTCCTGTACTCGTGTGACTTCTCTGAGAAAGCCTCGCCGTCTCCACCCAGCGGCTTGGTGGCCAAAGTGCAGGGCATCATCCGTGAGTACACCTCGTCCTTACACTCTTCAGTTGTTAACTCAAGTCTTCATTGTATGTGCAGTTCGGAGGGCCAGCCAAGTGCCGTTGTCATTCTACAAATGCAGCCAAAGCAGTAGATGGAGTAAGCCTGCACGCTAGGAGAAGAATCTGCCATAACACTGTTCAATATTGCCATGACGATGTGACTTGCAATAAATAAATACTGAATAGTGCATGTTAGCTATACAGTTCCTGTATCAGCCTGATAGTCTTTAAATTCAGCCGCCACTCTAATGTTTACAACAGCAATAAGAGAAATATTACTGAGTGAGTCAGTCAGCCCTGCTGCACAGGGACCACAGTGCTGCTGTCAGACAACAACCACTCAAATCTTCCACATGATGCTGCTGTTGCAAATAGACAGCCAATATGTTATTATACACACGCACGCACACACG